CTTGATCAGAAATGCCTCTGGCTTCAGGACTGGACTTTGGTTTTGATGTAACTGCCCCCGGACTCGACTCAGACTCTCTGCACGGAGTCAGAGCAGGAGCCGGAGTCAGAGCAGGAGCCAGCAGGAGCCGGAGTCAGAGCAGGAGCAGAGCAGGAGCCGGAGTCAGAGCAGGAGCCGGAGCAGGAGCCGGAGTCAGAGCAGGAGCCGGAGTCAGAGCAGGAGCCGGAGTCAGAGCAGGAGCGGAGAGCAGGAGGAGTCAGGAGCAGAGCAGGAGCGGAGCAGAGCAGGAGAGCGGAGCCGGAGTCAGAGCAGGAGCCGGAGCAGGAGCCGGAGTCAGAGCAGGAGCCAGAGCAGGAGCCGGAGTCAGAGCAGGAGCCGGAGTCAGAGCAGGAGCCGGAGTCAGAGCAGGAGCAGGAGCAGGAGCAGGAGTCAGAGCAGGAGCCGGAGCAGGAGCCGGAGTCAGAGCAGGAGCGGAGCAGGAGCCAGAGCAGGAGCCGGAGCAGGAGCCGGAGTCAGAGCAGGAGCCGGAGCAGGAGCAGGAGAGCAGGAGCCGGAGCGGAGCCGAGAGAGCAGGAGCCGGAGTCAGAGCAGGAGCCAGAGCAGAGTCAGAGCAGGAGTCAGAGCAGGAGCCAGAGCAGGAGCCGGAGTCAGAGCAGAGAGCAGGAGGAGCAGGAGTCAGAGCAGGAGCCGGAGCAGGAGTCAGAGCAGAGCAGGAGCAGGAGCCGGAGTCAGAGCAGGAGTTAGAGCAGGAGCCGGAGCAGGAGCAGGAGCAGGAGCCGGAGTCAGAGCAGGGAGCCGGAGCAGGAGCCGGAGCGGAGTCAGAGCAGGAGCAGGAGGAGTCCAGAGCAGGAGCCGAGCAGAGCGGAGTCAGAAGCAGGAGCCGGAGGAGCAGGAGCGGAGCAGGAGCCGGAGCAGGAGCCGGAGAGCAGGAGTTAGAGAGGAGTCAGAGCAGGAGCAGGAGCCGGAGCCGGAGCAGGAGCCGGAGTCAGAGCAGGAGCGGAGGAGCCGGAGGAGCGGAGTCCAGAGCAGGAGTAGAGCAGGAGCCGGAGCAGGAGCAGGAGCCGGAGGAGCCGGAGCCGGAGTCGGAGCAGGAGTCAGAGCAGGAGCCGGAGCAGGAGCCGGAGTCAGAGCAGGATCCGGAGCAGGAGCCAGAGCAGGAGCCGGAGCAGGAGCCGGAGTCAGAGCAGGAGCTGGAGCAGGAGCAGGAGTCAGAGCAGGAGCCGGAGCAGGAGCCGGAGTCAAGAGAGCAGAGTAGGAGTCAGAGCAGGAGTCAGCAGGAGCAGGAGTAGGAGCAGGAGTCAGAGCAGGAGCAGGAGCAGGACGGAGTCAGAGCAGGAGCCAGGAGTGGAGCCGGAGTCAGAGCAGGAAGCGGAGCGGAGCAGGAGCCGGAGCCGGAGAGGAGCAGGAGGAGTCAGGAGCAGCAGGAGCCGGAGCAGGAGCCGGAGTCAGAGCAGGAGCCGGAGCAGGAGAGCAGGAGCCGGAGTCAGAGCAGGAGCCGGAGCAGGAGGAGCGGAGCCGGAGCAGGAGCGGAGCAGAGCAGGAGGAGTGAGCAGGAGTCAGAGCAGAGCAGGAGCAGGAGTCAGGAGTCAGAGCGAGCAGGAGCCGGAGCAGCAGGAGCCGGAGCAGGAGCAGGAGCAGGAGCAGGAGCCGGAGAGCAGGAGCCGGAGTCAGAGAGAGGAGTAGGAGCGGAGCATGAGCGGAGTCAGAGGAGCCGGAGCAGGACCGGAGCAGGAGCGGAGTCAGAGCAGGAGCCGGGAGGAGCCGGAGCAGGAGCCAGAGCCGGAGTCAGAGCAGGAGCAGCAGCAGGAGCCGGAGAGGGCCGGAGCGGATCAGAGCAGGAGCGGAGGAGCCGGAGTAGGAGCTGGAGCCGGAGCCGGAGAGAAGCGGAGCCGGAGTCAGAGCAGGAGCCGGAGTAGAGGCAGGAGCCGGAGCAGGAGCCGGAGCCAGGAGCTGGAGTAGGAGCTGGAGTAGGAGCCGGAGCCGGAGGTGTTATTGATACTTTGCAGCTGGTGTCGTCAACATCTCGTGAGGCTGTGACGCTAACTGGAGGAACTGCTCAGTCTGCAGGTCTGGTGCTCGAGTGAGACTTTAATCTGAGTTTGGTGAATCTGTGGCTCAGATTTAAAACTTTAGAGCCTCAGGTTCAGTCTCTGTTGGTGCAGAGGATCTGTGGTCTGAGGTGAAGTTTTTTACTGTATCAGTGGCTGAGTGAACCCAGGACAAAACCAGGACTAAACCAGGACTAAACCAGGACTAAACCAGGACTAAACCAGGACTTAAACCAGAACTAAACCAGAAAACCAGGACTAAACCAGGACTAAACAGAACTAAACAAACCAGGATAAACGCAGGACTAAACCAGAACTAAACCAACAAGAACTAAACCAGAACTAAACCGAACTAAACCAGACTAAACAGAAACTAAAACAGACTAACCAGGACTAAACCAGGCTAACCAGAACTAACCAGTCTAAACCAGGACTAAACAGACTAACCAGAAGAAACCAGGACTAATAGACTGAACCACATAAACAGGTCTCTAAACCAGGTCTAAACCAGGACTGAACCAGAACTAAACCAGGACTAAAACAGGTATGAACCAGGACCAGATTGAACATGTCTAACCAGGACTAAACATCTAGGAATTTGATGTCTAAACAGGACAAAGAGGTTTGAACCAGAACTAACCCAGGACACCAGACTGGACCGGTCTAAACCAGGACTAAAAAAGTCTAAACCAGGACAAAACAGATCTAAATCAGGACTAAACCAGGACTAAAACAGGACTAAACCAGGACTAAAATCGGTCTAACCAGGACTAAAACAGGTCTAAAAGGTCTAAACTAGTACTAAATCAGGACTAAACCAGAAAACCTGAACCAGGCCAGGTCTAAACCAAGACTGAACCAGGACTAAACCAAGTCACCAGGACTAAAAACAGGTCTGAACCAGGACTGAACTCAGGATTGACAGGTCTAAAACAGGACTAAAAGAGGACTAAAACCATAAACCAGGACACAGGTCTCGACTAAACCAGGACTTAAACAAAGTCTAAACCAGGAAAAAGGATTGAACCAATGTCTAAACAGACAAAAAGAGGACTAAAGTGAAACCAGGAGTAAAACAGAACTGAACCAGGACTAAACCAGGACTGGGGAAAAACATGTAAATAAAAGGCAAACTGTGACAAAAACTCAAGCAAGTGATTAAAAGTGCTTTAAAAAATAAGAAACACATTTAAATCACAAAACAAACAAATCTAAACACAACGTAAAGACGCATCTTTCCACATCTCTCCAACTCTAGACCCAAACTCGCCGTCGGCTTCATCGTTTTCCGTGTTTGAGTCCCACGCTCCGTCTTAGCGCCGCCCGGAGGCCTCCTCCTCCAAAACTCCTGTGTCCCTGAAATCTTGTTGACTCGATGGTTGCGGGTGAATGTATTTATAATCCACTAATGAACACGGTGAACCAGAACTGAACCAGGACTAAACCAGGTCTAAACCAGGACTGAACCAGAAAACCAAGTCTAAACCAGGTCTAAACAGACTAAACCAGGTCTAACCAAGACTAAACCAGGTCTAAACCAGGTCTAAACCAGGACTAACCAGGACTAAACCAGGACTAAACTAGGTCTAAACCAGGACTAAACCAGGAACTAAAACAGATCTAAACCAGGACTAAATCATGACTAAACCAGGACTAAACCAGGACTAAACCAGGACTAAAATCGGTCTAAACCAGACTAAAACAGGACTAAAACAGGTCTAAACCAGGACTAAACCAGGACTAAAACAAATCTAAACCAGGACTAAAACAGGACTGAAACAGGACTAAACCAGGACTAAAATGGGTCTAAACCAGGTCTAAACCAGGACTAAACCAGGACTAAAACAGAACTAAACCAGGTGTAAACCAGGTCTTAACCAGGAGTAAAACAGAACTGAACCAGGACTAAACCAGGACTGGGGAAAAACATGTAAACAAAAGGTGAAACTGTGACAAAAACAAACAAAAAAGTGATTAAAAGTGCTTTCTCGAATAAAAAACACATTAAAATCACAAAAACAAATCTAAACACAACGTAAAGACGCATCTTTCCACATCTCTCCAACTCTAGACCAAACTCGCCGTCGGCTTCATCGTTTTCCGTGTTTGAGTCCCACGCTCCGTCTTAGCGCCGCCCGGAGGCCTCCTCCTCCAAAACTCCTGTGTTTCCCCGACAATAACTCCACATTTCCATATTCTGATTCCTCGTCCCCGTGTTCCTGGAGGCCCAAATTTGCGGGCTCACTGGATCGCGTCATTAAGCCCTATCTCCGGAGCGTAAACCAAGGAGTTAATTGCTTAGACTCGGAGCTTTTAGGACATTTTCCAGGCACCTTTTCCCGTTCGCACGCGTCACTCGGATTAACAGCCTCGCTCGGGCAAATCAAATAAAATTAAGTATTAATACGCGATATGCATAATTGACAACGCGATGCCAGGAGATGCGGCGGCGCCCGGTTTGAGGGAAATCAAAATAAGCAAAGGTAAAAACAAACATGAATTTTTAAAGATGAGACGTGAACTCCGGGTTAGTGACTCCGGGATCAAGATCTGCCAAACACCAGACGCTAATTAGGATCGGAGCGACTTTATTAGACGTGAATTAGAAGGTTTCATTAATTATCTTATGATCGGTTCAGTTCAGTGAAAGAGGTACTGTGGAGCTCCTGGTTTAGTCCTGGTTTAGACCTGGTTTAGACCTGGTTTAGACCTGTTTTGGTCCTGGTTTAGACCTGGTTTAGACCTGGTTTAGTCTGGTTTAGGCCTGGTTTAGTCTGGTCAGTCTGGTCTGGTTTAGAGTCCTTTGGTTTAGTCCTGTTTAGTCCTGGTTTTAGTTTAGTCCTGGTTTAGACCTTGTTTAGTCCTGGTTTACCTGGTTTAGACTTGGTTTAGTCCTAGGTTCAGTTCTGGTTTAGACTTTGTTAGTCCTGGTTTATTTCCTGGTTTTGGTTTAGTCCTGGTTTACTTGGTTTAGACCTGGTTTAGTCCTGGTTCAGGTCTGGTTTAGAGTTTGTTTAGACCTGGTTTAGACTTGGTTTAGTCCTGGTTTAGTCCTGGTTCAACCCTGTTTTAGTCCTGGTTTAGACTTTGTTTAGACCTGGTTTAGACCTGGTTTAGTCCTGGTTCAGGTCTGGTTTAGAGTTTGTTTAGACCTGGTTTAGTCCTGGTTTAGTCCTGTTTAGTCCTGGTTTTAGACTTTGTTTAGACCTGGTTTAGACCTGGTTTAGTCCTGGTTCAGGTCTGGTTTAGACTTTGTTTAGTCCTGGTTTAGTCCTGGTTAGTCCTGGTTTAGACTAGTTCTTTTGTTTCTGTTAGACCTGGTTTAGTCCTGGTTTTAGTTGGTTTAGTCTGGTTTAGACTTGGTTTAGACCTGGTTTAGTCCTGGTTTCAACCTTGTTTTAGTCCTGGTTTAGTCCTGGTTCAGTCTGGTTTAGACCTTTGTTTAGACCTGGTTTAGTCCTGTTCAGGTCTGGTTTAGTTTGGACTGGTTTAGACTGGTTTAGTCCTTGGTTCAGGTCTGGTTTAGAGTTTTAGACCTGTTTTACCTGTTTTAGTCCTGGTTTAGACTTTGTTTAGTCCTGGTTTAGACCGACCTGGTTTAGTCCTGGTTCAGGTCTGGTTTAGACTTTGTTTAGTCCTGGTTTTAGACCTGGTTTAGTCCTGGTTTAGGTTTTGGTTTAGACTGTCCTGGTTTAGTCCTGGTTCAGGTCTGGTTTAGACTTGGTTTAGTCCTGGTTTAGTCCTGGTTCAACCCTTGTTTTAGTCCTGGTTTAGTCCTGGTTCAACCTTGTTTTACCTGTTTAGTCCTGGTTCAGGTCTGGTTTAACCTGGTTTAGGTTTGTCTTGGTTACCTTGTTTAGTCCTGGTTTCTGACTTTGTTTAGACCTGGTTTAGACCTGGTCCTGGTTTAGTCCTGTTCAACTTGTTTTAGTCCTGGTTTAGTCCTGGTTCAGTCTGTTTTAGACCTTGGTTTTAGACCTTGGTTTAGACCTGGTTTAGTCCTGGTTTCAGTCTGGTTTAGAATTTGTTTAGACTTGTTTAGACTTGGTTTAGTCCTGGTTCTTGAGTTTTGTTTAGACCTGGTTTAGACCTGGTTTTAGTCCTGGTTCAGGTCTGGTTTTGGTTTAGACCTGTTTAGACCTGGTTTCTGGTTTAGTCCTGGTTCAGGTTTAGTCCTGGTTTAGTAGTTTAGTCCTGGTTTAGACTTGTTTAGTCCTGGTTTAGCCTGGTTTAGTTCTGGGTTTTAGACCTGGTTTAGTCCTGGTTTAGTCTGTTTAGTTTAGTCCTTGTTTAGTCCTGGTTTACCTTTGGTTTAGTCCTGGTTTAGTCCTGGTTCAGTCTGGTTTACCTGGTTTAGTCCTGGTTTAGACCTGGTGTTTATCCTGTTTAGTCTGTTTAGGTCCTGGTTTCAGGTCTGTTTAGACTTGTTTAGTCCTGGTTTAGTCCTGGTTTCTGGTTCCTGGTTTTAGACTTTGTTTGTTTAGACCTGGTTTAGACTTGGTTTAGTCCTGGTTTAGTCCTGGTTCTAGTTCTGCTCAGTAAATAAAACCCTCTCTGATCTTTGAAGAAACACGTTGCGCTGGTGGAGACGAACCTTCTGATCTGCTTCTCTTCTTAATCTTCTTGATTAAGATCATCACGTCGCTTTGGTGGAACCTCTGAACCTTCTTCTCTTCTTCTGTGACTCTGGAGGCGGAGAATTCCCAGGACAAACGTTTCTTCACTCAGGTGCCAAAGATGTCGACCCAAAGCTGTAGAGGTGTTTTCTCCACAACAGAATTTTTATACTGTGACAGCTTCTTAAGGAAAACCAAATCATCTGCAGGAGCTTCAGAACTTCATGCAGAAACTTCACGCAGCTCGAGCAACCTCTAAAACATCTCCTTTTTCTTCCACATTTCTTCTAAATCA